CACAGCTGAAACCAATCTTCAGAGACAATTTTTATCCTTAAAGCTGAGGAAAATTGCTTCATTAATTGGCTTACTCCAAGTCACACCTCACATTTCTCAGCTCCTACTCCATTCTCCAGTATTTCTTTACTGAAAAAACTGCTGACAAATTATTTAGAGTGTGTGTGTGTGTGTGTGTGTGTATTTGGAGACAGGGTCTTGCTCTGTCACCCAGGGTGGAATGAAGTAACAATCAGCTCACTGCAGCCTTGAATTCCTGAGCTCAAGAGATCCTCGTGCCTCAGCCTCCCAACTAGCTGGGACTATAGGCACACATCTCCACACCTAGCTAATTAAAAACAACAACAACAACAAAATATATATATATACACACACACACATATATATATAGTAGAGACAGGATTTCTTTATGTTGCCCAGGCTGGTCTCAAACCCCCGGTCTCAAGCTGTTCACCCACTCTTTGTTTTATTTTTTTATTTTTATTTTTATTTTTTTTTTGAGATGGAGTCTTGCTCTGTCACCCAGGCTGGAGTGTAATGGCACAATTTCACCTCCTGGGTTCAAGAGATTCTCCTGCCTCAGCCTCCCAAGGAGCTGGGATTACAGGTGCCCACCACCATGCCTGGAGAATTTAAAACATATTTTTAGTAGAGGCGGGGTTTCTCCATGTTGGCCAGGCTGGTTTCTAACTCCTGACCTCAAGTGATCCGCCAAGTGATCCACCCGCCTCAGCCTCCCAAAGTGCTAGGATTATAGGTGTGAGCCACTGAGCCTGGTCTCCCCGACTCTGTTTAGTACCTTCTCATTTTTCCCTCCCCCTTGTCCCTGGCAACCACCCTTCTACTTTCTGCTTCTGAATTTGACTATGTCAGGTAACTTGTAGATGGGGAAGCATGCGGTATTTGTTCTCCGTGCTTGGCTTATAGTATAATGTCCTTAAGGTCCATCCATGCTGTAGCGTATGACAGGCCTTCCTTTTCAAGGCTGACTACTATTCCATGGTACGTATAGATCTCATTTTCTTTATCCATTCATTCCTCAATGGACATTTAATTGTTTCCTGATCTCCACTATTTGTTTTTTAATTGTTTTGAGATAGAGTCTTACTCTGTTGCCCAGGCTGGACTGCAGTGGCACCATCACAGCTCACTGCAGCCTTGACATCTTGGGCTCCAATGATCCTAACACCTCGGCTGGACTCAGGACCACAAGCATGGACCACTACACCTGGATAATTTAAAAAGAAATTTTTTTGTAGAGACAGGGTCTGGCTGTGCTGCCCAGGCTGGTCTTGAATTCCTGTCCTCAAGCAATCCTCCTACCTTGACCTTCCAAAGTGCTGAGATTACGGCATGAGTCACCATGCCTGGTCCCTCAGGACGGATCCCCTGAGGTCAGGAGTTCATGACCAGCCTGGCCAAGACGGTGAAACCCCGTCTCTACTAAAAATAAAAAATTAGCCGGGTGTGGTGGCACGCGCCTGTAGTCCCAGCTACTCGGGAGGCTGAGGCAGGAGAATCCCTTGAACCCGGAAGGTGAAGGTTGCAGTGAGCCGAGATCACGCCACTGCACTCTAGCCCGGGTGACAGAGCGAGACTCCATCTCAGAAAAAAAAAAAAAACACATTCTGTCTCAAAAAAAAAAAAAAGCTATTATTTTAAGTATACATTCATGGCAGTCCTCTCCCTAATTTCAGAGTATGTGTTTGACACCTGTTGCAAATTCTCTTTCCTAGAAATATATAAATAAATAAGGTGAAAAAAGCAATAAGAAAGGAAATAATAATATGAGTAGAAATTCATATTTAGAGGGGAAAAAATAGACACGCCCCCTCCCCCCCAACATACACACACACGTATCCTGTATGTATCTACCTGGAATATACTTTGGTGCAAGTTGCGAGATAGAGATCAACTGAAAGTGTTTCTCCAGATGACTCCCCGACTTTCCTTGAGCTGTGCTGAGTAGCCTGTCTTTTCCAGACTGGTATGAAATGACAGATGTACAGACGACCTTTGAACAACGGGGGTCTGAACTCCTCAACATGGACACTTATACATGGATTTTTCTCAATAAAAGTTACACCAGGAACGCCTGCCTCTCCTGCCCAGCCTTCCACCTCCTCTACCTGCCTGGCCTCTGCCACCCCTGAGACAGCAAGGCCAGCCCTCCCGCCCTCACCCCCTCACCCCCTCCTCCGCAGCCTCCTCAACATGGTCACGGCAAGGGTGAAGACTTTTATGATGATCCACTTCCACTTAGTGAATAGATTTTCTCGTAATAACATTTTCTTTTCTCTAGCTTATTTGATAAGAATAAAATAATACATGTAACACAAAAATATATTAATTGACTGTTTCTGTTATTGATAAGGCTTTTGGTCAACAGTAGACTATTAGTAGTTATGTTCTGGGAAAGGTAAAGATAATTTTTGATGTGCGAGGGGTCAGCACCTGTAACCCCTGCATTGCTCAAGGGTCAACTATAGTTTTTTTTTGTTTGAAATCTCGCTCAGTGCCCAGGCTGGAGTGCCCCGGTGATCATGTCTCGCTGCTGGCTTTGTCTCCTGGGTTCAAGTGATTCTCGTGCCTCAGCCCCGAGTAGCTGAGATTACAGGCACCCGCCATCACACCCGGCTATTTTTGTAGAGACGAGGTTTCACTGTGTTGGCCAGGCTGGTCTTGAATTCCTGACCTCAGGTGATCCACCTGCCTCGGCCTTCCAAAGCGCTGGGATTACTGGCGTAAGCCACTGGGCCCGGTTAACTTTATTTTTAAAATCAGGCTTTCAAGCAATGTATTTTTCAAATAAGCTCCCATCTAGTCCACTGCCGCATCAACAAATAAGCCCTTACTAACTATATCTATAAAGTTCCTTGTTTTCTGCATGTACCAATCCTGATGGCATCTGGGTGATAGTTGATAGTTGTGACTGTGACCCTCTTGGGGTCCCCCTAGCGTCACCCTCTCAGGAGAGAAAAGCCAGAGAAGAAACTACTTGAGTTGTTGATCTCCGAAGCTGTGTCTGGTAGTGCGACTGGGTCATATATTTTGGGAAGGCTGGTCTGTTCTGTGAATGCATTTCATCCATGAATTAAGCCCAGGTAATATATTTAGAAAGACGGTAAGGAAGTCTGCCTTCCCAAGAGTGAATGTGGCCAGTGATTTCAGATACCTGTCGCACCATCACTCCATTGTGACAGCTGTCTGACTCCCTTCTGACAGCAATTGGGCAATGTTCATTTTATCGAGAAAACTGGAAATTTTCACCCACTCACCAGTCAATCAGTGAGACGCAGTATAGTGTGTTGACAAAATAGAAAGACTGGGAGGGAGGCGCTCCAGTTTCCTGTCCTAATCTGGCCTATGTAGTAAGTAAGTATCAGGGGACGAATTCAATTTATTCGAGCCTCGGTTTTCTTCAGCATCTGTGGAAGGTAGTTGGACTATAAGATCTCTTGACTTCCAGCTAAATATAAGACTATGATTCCATAATAACATAGTTCCTCTATTCATTTGTAACTCATTTAAAGAAAAATCGAGCCATGTGCAAAGAGTTCTTGTAGTCACCAATGAATAGCACACGGTCATTGTGTTACGATGCTTATAAAATAAAACAATTTATCCAGAAGAGGGAAGCGGGAGGGATCAGATCGGTGTGACTTGAAGACAGACTATGCCAGCCACCCTATTCCAAATTGGAATACTGGCTCTGTGATGTGCTGTAACTGCATTGTGAGGCTTATTCTAACGATTTCGGTAAATAGTAAAGACTCCTCCTGGGGTTGTGTTGGAATAACACACGGAATGGAGGTGCTGGCTAGTTCATAAACTCTTTTTCTAGTGGTGGTAGTTAGTGTTATTGTAGACTTTTTTTTTTTTTTCTTCTTTGAGATGGAGTCTTTCTCTCTCTCTCCCAAGCTGGAGTGCAGTGGCGGGATCTTGGCTCACTGCAACCTCCACCTCTTGGGTTCAAGTGATTCTCTTGCCTCAGCCTCCCAAGTAGCTGGGATTACAGGTGTGCGACACCACGCCCGGTAATTTTAATTTTTAATTGTTTTTTTTGAGACAGAGTTTTGCTTTTGTCGCCCAGGCTGGAGTGCAATGGTGCAATCTTGCCTCACCCCAACCTCCACCTCCTGGGTTCAAGCAATTCTTCTGTCTCAGCCTCCTGACTAGCTGGGATTACAGGCATGCGCCACCACGCCTGGCCAGTTTTGTATTTTTAGTAGAGACAGGGTTTCTCCATGTTGGCCAGGCTGGTCTTGAACTCCTGACCTCAAGTGATCTGCCTGCCTCGGCCTCCCAAAGTGCTGGGATTACAGGCATGAGCCATAGCACCCGGCCTAATTTTCATATTTCTAGTAGATACGGAGTTTCACCATGTTGGCCAGGCTGGTCTTGAACTGCTGACCTCGAGTGATCCACCCACCTCGGCCTCCCAAAGTGCTGGGATTACAGACGTGAGCCACCACGCCCGGCCAACTTTTTTTTTTTTTTTTTTTTTGCAAGCCTTACTTAAGACTAACTCATAGCAATATTCTGAAGCTGTGACAAGTCAGTATCCTGGAAGCTATCTCGGTAGAGGTTTCGCGACACCACCCTGATGCCACCTCTCTTCCTCTTTACAGTAGTGTAACTTTCGCTCTGTTTTTGTTTTTAATAGTTTAAATTCTCATCCTAATAATTCACGTATGCTTTACGAAGGATGTATATAGGATTTAAACATTTTGAATTAATGATTTCAGAAAGGTGAGTTTTGACACGGAGAAAGGAAGGTGAGGAAAAAACATTCTCAGCCAAAAACTCCTTTTTCCCAAAGTTCAAGGTAAGAAAACATCTAACATCCTCTTGGAGGTAAGTGGAAGAGAAGCGGCCGTCGGAGCCTTGACAGTCAGAAACCAATGAATGGAACAACCTGAGTAACGGACCCGACCCACGGAAGGTTGCCAAGCTGGAGAGTGAGGGACGGAAACAGAAACACGGCGTGATGGGTGAGTGGGGGGGTCAAACGCTCTAGCGTTTGAGGAACAGCTTTTGAGGCGCCACTTCCCGGCGTGCAGTGAGCGGAAGGCGGGTCAGGACGGGAGCTGACTCCCGAGCAGGGGACACAGTGAATCTGTGGCATTTGGCCCTAATCTCGGTGTTCACTATGCACATTCTCTACACTAGGTATTTATTTTTTCATATGTTTAAAAAAAAGTCTGCACACTTCATTTCTGTCCAGTAAGAACTGATAGAGAATCAGGGATTTGAAAGGGCCTAGTCTGGAAATTTTCAATGGGTGAAAATAAGTGAGCAAAATTACATTCATACTAAAGTGTAATTCTTTCCATCTGCTCCATAGTGGGATAGCCTCTTGAGGCAACTTCCAATTACAATGTCATTTTAGATGCTTTCCATGGTGGCAGGTGGGTGAGGACTAGGGTCTGCAGCGAAGAATAATAAACACAGCTCTGGCCATCCGTGGTGCTTCTAACACCAAGGACTACTCCAGTGGAAGAGTTCTCATTTTGTTGGGATGAATAAAATTAAATAAAAATACACAGTACCCAATAAAGGACCAGAAAGCTTAAGCTTTGGTCAAGCAGAACAAAGGGCTAATGAGAAAAGGACGATGTATTACAGTTTTCTTCTTTCAGTTCAAAACTAGGTTTTATTAGCGGAGTTTCCCAAAAGATTTGGACCAAATTTCCAATTCAGATATTATTAGAGATCATCAAAACTCAAGTCTCTTTACTGGTTTACACCAAATCACCCAGACTTCCAGCCCAAAACCCACATGTTCACATGGTTCCACAGTGCTGTTTATGGACGATAACCAATTCTCGAAATGGTAATCCTGTTAGAAGCCAGAGCCCTCAGCCTCTAGCATGTGTGCTTTGCACAGAGATGAGTCTCAAAGTTTGGGGCTGGTGAGGAGCCCAGTGCACAGGAGTTCCACATTAAGTCATAATCGGCTTTGTGTTGGACAGTGGATGTCAGTTGGTGAAATCAGGCACAGAAGAGGTAAGGGTTTCTGGTAATAACAACATAGCAACAGGTCACCCACGTGTTAATCAAAACTGTGGGACTGTAGGGAGGGCTTTGCTAATCCCAGAACAGAGGTGTGACCTTGCCCCATGTCCAGCCTCGAGAAAATGTCTACAGCAGATTTGATGGAGAATCTCAGGGAAGAACTCACCTGTTTCATCTGCTTGGACTATTTTAGCAGCCCAGTGACCACCGAGTGTGGGCACAGCTTTTGTCTGGTGTGTCTCCTCCGGAGCTGGGAGGAACATAACACACCTTTATCTTGTCCTGAGTGCTGGAGGACCTTGGAGGGCCCGCATTTCCAGCCGAACGAGCGTCTGGGGAGGCTGGCCAGCATCGCCAGGCAGCTCCGGTCCCAGGTGCTGCAGAGCGAGGATGAGCAGAGCAGCTACGGGAGGATGCCCGCTGCTGCCAAGGCGCTCTCCGATGACGAGCAGGGTGGAAGCGTCTTCGCAGTCCAGAGCCATGGTGTAAACAGAGTGCACCTCTCCAGCGAGGCTGAGGAGCATCACAGGGTAAGACAGCTGCTCAGCGTGAACCCCAGGACTCATCACAGGCTCCCCCCGTTAGCTTTCCTAACGTCCTCTATGGGGGACAGTCAGGAGTGCCCATCTGAGCACCACATCACAAACCAGTGTGAGTCCCGCTTACACCCCCCTTTTCTTTTATTTTCTTTCTGTCTTTTTTTTTTTTTGAGATGGAGTCTTGCTCTGTCGCCCAGGCTGGCGAGAAGTGGCGTGATCTCGGCTCACTGCAACCTCCGCCTCCTGAGTTCAAGCGATTCTCCTGTCTCGGCCTCCCAAGTAGCTGGGATTACAGGCGCCCGCCGCCATGCCTGGCTAATTTTTTGTATTTTTAATAGAGATGGGGTTTCACCATGTTGGCCAGGCTGGCCTTGAACTACTGACCTCAAGTGATCTGCCTGCCTCGGCCTCCCAAAGTGCTGTGGTTACGGGCGTGAGCCACCGCGCCCGGCCTGCCCTTTGTTTCAGAGGCCTAGTACTGTGCTGTTACCGGTCTTCAAAGCCGCTTCATGACCCGGTACTCTGCTCATTTGCCACAAAGGGTTTGTTTCTATTGCAGGAGAAACTTCAGGAAATCCTGAATCTTTTGTGTATAAGGAGAAAGGAAGCTCAGGCTGTACTAACCCACGAGAAGGAGAGAGTGAAACTGTGCCAGGTCGGTGTCTGTCTGACTTTTGTGTGCTTGTATGTGACCCCATGAAGGGGACTAAAGGGAAATTTAGTGAAATTTCAGGAAAAAAAAAGACACATGTTTCCAGTCTCACCCCTAAGATATGCGGTTTCCTTACACTGGACTGCCGCCTTCTGACTGTCTTCGTTGGAATCTCAAGGCTCAGCTCCAGCTCCCCCGCTCCGGGCAGACTCCTTTGTGCAGCTAGACAGTGCCGTGGGCTCCTCTATGATGGCTCTCCTAGAATTATTTAAAACATAAGTGATACTTACAGACACATAACAGAAGACGGAAAGCAATTTAAAAAACAAATATCGCAAAAGCATTGAGGGAAAAATGCAAATTAAAAAGAAATAAAGAGAAAGAGATATAAAAGCAAAATAGTGGTTTAGATGAGACCTGATAAGTCCTCAAGGTTGGTCACAGACGTGGATTTGAGCTCTGCGGCAGTCAAAGCATTTGAATTCATTTTTTTTTTTTTTTTTTGGAGATGGAGTTTCACTGTCGCCCAGGCTGGAGTGCAGTGGTGCGATCCCGGCTCACTGCAACCGCCACCTCCCAGGTTCAAGCGATTCTCCTGCCTTAGCCTTCCAAGTAGCTGGGATGACAGGCGTGCGCCACCACGCCCAGCTAGCTTTGCATGTTCGTAGAGATAGGTTTTTACCATGTTAGCCAGGCTGATCTCGAACTCCTGACCTCAGGTGATCCACATGTCTCGGTCTCCCAAAGTGCTGGGATTCCAGGCGCCAGCCACCGTGCTTGGCCATAGACTTCGAATTCTTCAGTGAGAATGTTTGCCGTATATATTTCTATTCCTTTATGGTTATCTGACACCTATTTTCACTGAATAAATATTTACTGAATAAATGAAAACGCATTTTTCATAATTTTTCTTAATTTTGTTTTATTTGTATCCTAGTCCTGATCACTACCTGTCATACTTCTTACTCGTTTTCGGTTTTCTCCACTAGAACGACAACCTCCTGGGAATGGAGATTTGGGTTTTGTTCACTATTGTGTCTACAGTGCACATACCTCTGAAAACATCAACCTCTAGACGGAGCGCATCAGTAGAATATATGTGTTATATGTTGGGTTTCAGGAACTGCTGCCATGAAACTCTGGGACTTGGCCAGGCACAGTGGCTCACATCTGTAATCCCAGCACTTTGGGAGGCCAAGGATGGTGGGTCACCAGGTCAAGACACTGAGAAAATCCTGGCCAACATGGTGAAACCCTGTCTTTACTAAAAATACAAAAAATAGCCGGGCCTGGTGGTGGGCACCTGTAGTCCCAGGTGCTTGGGAGGCTGAGGCAGGAGAATGGCGGGAACCCAGGAGGCGGAGCTTGCAGTGAACCGAGATTGCGCTGCTGCACTGCAGCCTGGGGGACAGAGCGAGACTCTGTCTCAAAAAAAAGAAAGAAAAAGAATCTCTAGGACTTGTAAGGATTAAACATCTACAGACAGGTGCATTTCTCTTACTAACTTTATCTCGTGTGTGTGTGTGTATGTGTGTGTGTGTGTGTGTGTGTGTGTGTGTGTGTTTTGGCAGGAAGAAACAAAGACTTGCAAACAGGTTGTTGTGTCAGAATACATGAAAATGCACCAGTTCCTGAAGGAAGAGGAGCAGCTGCAACTCCAGCTACTAGAACAGGAAGAGAGAGAGAACATGAGGAAACTGAGGAACAACGAGATCAAATTGACCCAGCAAATCAGAGGCCTGAGCAAAATGATCGGACAGATGGAGTCCTCCAGTCAAAGCTCGGCTTTAGAATCTCTTGAGGTGAGGGTAACATTCACAAGAGTCATGGGAAAAATTATAGTAACTCATAGCACTTCAAGCCATAGGAAATAATGTTTTCTTTATTCATCTTAAAAACTAAGTTCTGGTCCAAAAGTAGTTTTCCTGAAGAATTGACATTCTGTATGTCAATGAAGCCTTATAGAAGAGAGAGAGAAAAAAAAAAAATCCAGAGGAATGCTTATCCCAAACAAGCCTGACGGTGGCTTCAATTTCTTCTGTACTTGCCTCTGTGCAACCTCAGCTTTGTTAATTTTTTTTCTAGTTTATTAATGTGTATTTACTATGTGCTGGGCAGATTAAATTTAATCTTCACAAAGACCTGATGAAGATAAGTACCATTATGATATGAACTCTAGGTCTAGATGACTGTCATCTACAGGATGGGTTAACAGCAGCACTGATTTAATTATTCACACCTGTGGTACTCGGGCGATCTGCCGGCCTGATAGTTAATAGATGGGAGAGCCCCACTCTTCCGCGCAGGGGGCTCCTATTTCTCACCTCCTTTGGTCTACTGTCTTTCTAGGCTACTGCATTCTTCAGGACCTTCTTTTTTGTTTGTTTGTTTCTGAGACAGAGTCTCACACTGTCACCTAGGCTGGAGTGCAGTGGTGCAGTCTTGGCTCACTGAACCCTATGCCTCCTGGGTTCAAGCGAGTCTCCTGCCTCAGCCTCCTGAGTGACTGGGATTACAGGCATGCGCCACCACACCTGGCTAATTTTTGTATTTTTGGTAGAGACGGGGTTTCACAATGTTGGCCAGGATGGTCTCGATCTCTTGACCTTGTGATCCACCCACCTGGGCCTCCCAAAGTGCTGGGATGACAGGCATGAGCCACCGCGCCCGGCCATGGACTTTCTTAAACATAAGCCACGTGATCCAACCCCAGCTTCAGGTCTGTTTGTAGACTGGTTCCACAGAATGCTCCTATTTAATTGAGGGCCTTCCAAACACACCAGCCCGACCCGACACAGGCTTGGTTAGCCTCAGTTGTCACCAGCCCATTTTCCTTTGTTATCTCTGTCTCTCACTGGATGGTCAATGAGACCAGCAAGTTGGCTTGTTTGCGGAACGGGTTCCCTGGACAAAGTGATGACACGAGAAAAAGAAAAGGACCGAGTATTCTCTAGTCATTGTGAGGAACATCCTGCGTTCACCACGGCACACCCCTTTTCTCTGCTCTGTGTGCTCCCACTCGTGGCGTGCCTCATGGGAAGCAGATTCTGTGAGCTGTGCAAGGACTGCATGCAACATGAATTTCGTCTGTGTTATGATCGGAGCGCACAGTGCTAACTTCTTTCTTTTTTACCCTTAGGAAGTGAGAGGAGCCCTGGAAAGGTAGGCTTTCATTCTGTGTTCAGTTATGCAAGCTGTGGGGAAGGGGTGCTGATGGCCGGTTTGGAGTGGGGAGCGGAGGTCTGCGCTGTTGCTGGGGGAGAAATGAGGTGGCCTCTCCAGCTGGAGCAGGTCACGCGGTCTGTGCTGAGGAGTGAACTTGTCTGCTGTCTTGCAGGAGCGAGCCACTCTTGCTTCAGTGTCCAGAGGCCACCACCACAGAGCTGAGTCTGTGCCGCATCACGGGAATGAAGGAAATGCTAAGAAAATTCAGCAGTAAGTCAGCCTGATGTGTTACCCCTCCGGGACTCGTAGAATTAACTTCAGCAGACCTTCTGCCAGTGTCATTCACTGTCTGACACTAGGCTCCTGGTTAAGGAATCTGGGCCAGCAAAGAACATCAGGGAGGGCTGGGGCCACAGACCGTCTCTGAGCGTGGGCAGAGAGAAGCAGTGAGACTTGACTCAGGCTTTATCTGGCTTCTTTTTCTGTGTAAGAAGTCCGGTCCTTCCCTTTTTGTTTTTTTTTTTCTGAGATGGAGTCTCACTTTGTCACCCAGGCTGGAGTGCGGTGGCCCCATCTCCGCTCACTGCAAGCTCCGCCCCCGGGTTCCCGCCATTCTCCTGCCTCAGCCTCCCGAGTAGCTGGGACTACAGGCCCCGCCACCACGCCCGGCTAGTTTTTTGTATTTTTAGTAGAGACGGGGTTTCACCGTGGTAGCCAGGCTGGTCTCCATCTCCTGACCTCATGATCCGCCTGCCTCGGCCTCCCACAGTGCTGGGATTACAGGCTTGAGCCACCACGCCCGGCCAATCCTGGTCCTTTCTTTGTTGGTTTTGTCATTGTTGTTTCCATCCCCACCTTGCACATGCAGACACACCCTCTCATGCAGGGGTGTCTGCGTTTCTAGCTCTGTTCCCGTTAGGATAAAAGCTGACTTAAATTCTACAATTCCAGCGAGGGCGCATTCGACGAACTGTCCTTGTAGAATGCTCCAGATGTTTAGTCTGGCTAACACCCAGAGAGGTCAGGATTAGTTCTCAGCTTTTATCTTGGGGAGAATCTGACCCTCAGAGGAAGGTCTAATGAGCTTTGAACTCCAGAGTGTTGAATAAACCCCTGCCATGGGCTCGGCACTGTGCTGTTGGGCTGTGCGCTTACTTACAATGATAAATAAGGCAGATTTTGCCTTTGCTTTTGTAGAATTTTCAATGAAATTGAGGAGACAGGCATTAATCACACAGATAATTAGTTATGTTGGGATCTGGTATACACATAAAAGCATGAAATGGTATGAGTGGGGCCGGGCGCGGTGGCTCACGCTTGTAATCCCAGCACTCTGGGAGGCCAAGGAGGGCGGATCGCTTGAGGCCAGGAGTTCGAGACCAGCCTGGCCAACATGGCGAAAGCCCGTCTCTACTAAAAATACAAAAAAAATTAGGTTTGTGTGATGGTGGGCGTCTGTAATCCCAGCTACTCGGGAGTCCGAGGCAGGAGAATCACTTGAATCCAGGAGGCAGAGGTTGCAGTGAGCCAAGATTGCACCACTGCACTCCAGCCTGGGCAACAAGAGAGAATCTCCATCTCAAAAAAAAAAAAAAAAGGAAAAAAAGGAATGATTGGGTACCTGATCGTGTCTGGACAGTGAGTGAAAGTTGGAGTCCTCGACCAGGCACAGTGGCCCACACCTGTAACCCCAGCACTTTGGGAGGCTGAGGCGGGTGGGTCACCCGAGGTCGGGAGTTTGAGACCAGCCTGGCCAGGATGATGAAACCCCATCTCTACTAAAAATACAAAAAACTAGCCGGGCGTGGTGGCGGACACTTGTAATCCCAGCTACTTGGGAGGCTGAGGCAGGAGAATTGCTTAAATCTGGGAGGTGGAGGTTGCAGTGAGTCAAAATCGCACCACTGCACTCCGACCTGAGCAACAAGAGTGAAACTCTGTCTCAGAAAAAAAAAAAAAAAGGAGGCCCCGTATGTGACTGTCGGTTCACAGCGTATGTGTGCTTCATCAGGTGGTCCCCGGGTGCTGCACTGAACTCACAGGAAGCTGCACTTGTCATGACGTAATGAAAAAAGCTGGTTAGGGATTGTGATTTGAACACTCAGTGACTGTGTAATCTTGGTGAAGTTTCCTAACCTTCATGAACCTGTTTTCCGTTTTGTAAAAATGATAGAAAAGAATGCTTGCAGTGATTAAATGAGATAATATATAGAAAATGTTGGGCACATTAGAAGTTCAGCCAAAGGTAAGTGCTATTTTCTCTCCCACCCAAATTGAAGAACCAGAACCTACCATGGCTAATATGAATGCAAACAACCAAGGGTATCCCTGTGTGGATACACAGTTCAGAGCTCTAAAGATGTCCTGTAAACAGAGCAACGTCCATGCCACTCACTGGGATTCTCCTCCCCCCCCAGGCAGGTCAAAACTCCTTCTCCACGAGGCTCTTCTCTCTCTCCATTTGGAGCTTCATGATATGTGTTGTGGAACAGTGAAAGAGGAACTCAGAAATTTTGTTCTAAGCCAAATACTTTTTTTTTTTTTTTTTGAGGCTGAGTTTTGCTCTGTCACCCAGGTTGGAGTGCAGTGATGTAATCTTGGCTCACTGCAGCCTCCACCTCCTGGGTTCAAGCAATTCTCATGCCTCAGCCTCCTGAGTAGCTGGGATTACAGGCACACGCTACCATGCCTGGGTATGTTTTGTATTTTTAGTAGAGATGGGGTTTCACCATGTTGGCCAGGCTGGTCTCAAACTCCCGATCTTGTGATCTGCCCTGCTCATCCTTCCAAAGTGCAGCATTACAGGCGTGAGCCACCGCACTCGGCCCTAAATTAGATTTAAAAAACCAGGACTAAATACTAAGAATTCAATGTAAATCTCACATATGTAAGAGGTTTTTCAAGCATGCCCAAGGGAAACTTCTTCCTTCCTCCTCTTGCAGCGGAGATAACGCTGGACCCAGCCACAGCCAATGCCTATCTCGTGCTGTCCGAGGATCTGAAGAGTGTGAAATACGGGGGAAGCAGACAGCAGCTACCCGACAACCCGGAAAGATTTGACCAGTCTGCGACCGTGCTGGGCGCTCAGATCTTCACCAGTGGGAGACACTACTGGGAGGTGGAGGTGGGAAACAAGACGGAGTGGGAAGTGGGCATCTGCAAGGACTCGGTGAGCCGAAAGGGGAACCTCCCCAAGCCGCCCGGGGACCTGTTCTCACTGATCGGTTTAAAAATCGGAGACGATTACAGCCTCTGGGTCTCGTCCCCTCTGAAGGGTCAGCACGTCAGAGAGCCTGTGTGTAAGGTTGGTGTCTTCCTGGACTATGAGTCTGGACATATAGCATTCTACAACGGGACGGATGAGTCCCTCATCTACAGCTTCCCGCCGGCTTCTTTCCAAGAGGCTCTCAGGCCAATCTTTTCCCCCTGCCTCCCAAATGAGGGGACAAACACAGACCCTCTCACCATCTGCTCACTCAACAGCCACGTCTGAGGGGCGTGCCCTGAGCCTTCACAGCGGGCGATGTCTGAGACCAAGACGTAACTATTAAGATGATGAAGGCATCGACAGTATTAATGTCAGGTGATCTGAAATAAACTCCCCTACCCCCACCCCACCCCCAAGAGTTTCCATTAACTTGATCCCACTATGAGCAGCCAAATTACACGATCGACTTCAACCCCAACAGAAGAGAGCTGATCATATTCTGTGTCGTTAACTAAATGAATTCTCTAGGCTACCCCATGTATGTGCTGGTCACTCAAATACTGAGACCCTGTTACCATGAATCCTACTGCCATAGGCCGGACTTTATAAATAGATGTCACTTTTTCAAGTGTATTTAATTATTTGACTCTGAAAAACTGTGCTGTTCGAATGTGTCTTTGTCCTCCGTGCAGAGCTCTGCAGGCTGGGGCAACTCAAATCCATCTGGGAAACTGAGGCACGGGCACATCTTTCCAGGGCGGGTGAAAGGGCTCAGGCCTCATCCTTCTCCCAAAAGCCATTTTCCTTCCCATCCCATGAGCCTGCAGTGTTTGTGCTCAGGAAGGCTTATATATACTTATATACATAAGTATAATTCAGAACACTGCAAAGATTTGTGTGAATATCGTCATACCATTCACGTTTCCATAATCACAAGAGGCTGGAACCTTCCGTTAATATGTTAAAAGGTCAGAGTAAAGTCTCTATTCAGTAAATGTATCACGGCAGGGGACGCCAAGCGACTATACCGCACTGTATATAAGGTTCTTTTCTGGGCTTTTGCGATGTTCTGCGATTGAAGGCTTTCAATCTCTGGAAGGCCAAAGAGCCTACCCTCCTCTTACCTCAAAACGTCAGGGCAGGCCGGGCGCGGTGGCTCATGCCTGTCATCCCAGCACTTTGGGAGGCTGAGGCGGGTGGATCACCTGAGGTCGAGAGTTTGAGACCAGCCTGACCAATGTGGAGAAACCCCATCTCTACTAAAAATACAAAAATTAGCCGGGCGTGGTGGCGCATGCCTGTAATACCAGCTACTCGGGAGGCTGAGGCAGCAGAATCGCCTGAACCTGGGAGACAGATGTTGCAGTGAGCAGAGATCATTCCATTGCACTCCAGCCTGGGCAACAAGAGCGAAACTCCATCTCAAAAAGAAAAAAAGAGGAAAGTCAGGGTTTGTTAGGAAGGGGTGGCGGCTGAGGGGAGCTCTTTCGGCTGGTGGTCTGCACTAGGCTCGCTGTCTTCAGTGATCTATCCCTGCAGGTGTGTGTTGTTTGTTTGTTTGTTTTAAGATGGAGTCTTGCTCTGTCACCCAGGCTGGAGTGCAATGGAGCGATCTCGGCTCACTGCAACCTCGGCCTCCGGGGTTTAAGCAATTCTCCTGCCTCAGCCTCCCAAGTAGCTGGGATTACCGGCACTCGCCACCATGCCCAGCTAATTTTTCTATTTTTAGTAGAGACGGGGTTTCACCATGTTGGCCAGGGTGATCTTGATCTCCTGACCGCCTGCCTCGGCCTCCCAAAGTGTTGGGATTACAGGCATGAGCACCACGCCCGGCCTTATTTATTTTTTAAAATTATTATTTTTTGAGATGGAATTTTGCTCTGTCACCCAGGCTGGAGTGAAGTGGTGCAATCTCGGCTCACTGCAGCCTCCTCCACCCAGGGTTCAAGTGATTCTCCTGCCTCAGCCTCCTGAGTAGGTTAATCCCTATAGACGCCTGCCACCATGCCCAGCAAATTTTTATATTTTTAGTAGAGATGGGGTTTTGCCATGTTGGCCAGGCTGGTCTTGAATTCCTGACCTCAAGTGATCCGCCCGCCTGGGTCTCCCAAGTGCTGGGATTATAGGTGTGAGCCACCACACCTGGGCTCCACTTATTTTATTATAGAGATTTCATATCTTGAGTTCTCACCTCAAAAGCTAAGAAACAAAATTATAAAAAGCAAACTGCAAACATTTGGAATATATCTTTCCTTGATTACCGAAAATCCCAATTTTGTGGAAGGACTAAGTAAATAAAAAAGTACAAAAGTAATTTACATTTACTTTGGGGAGTGAGAATGGGGGTGAAGGGGAGTGAGAGTGGGGGTGAGATGGGCAGTGAGAGTGGGGGTGAAGGGGAGTGAGAGTGGGGGTGAAGGGGAGTGAGAGTGGGGGTGAGAAGGGGAGTGAGAGTGGGGGTGAAGGGGAGAGAGAGGGGGGGTGAGAAGGGGAGTGAGAGTGGGGGTGGGAAGGGGAGTGAGAGGGGGGTGAAGGGGAGTGAGAGTGGGGGTGAGAAGGGGAGTGAGAGTGGGGGTGAGAAGGGGAGTGAGAGTGGGGGTGAAGGGGAGTGAGAGTGGGGGTGAAGGGGAGTGAGAGTGGGGGTGAAGGGGAGTGAGAGTGGGGGTGAGAAGGGAGTGAGAGTGGGGGTGAGAAGAAGAGTGAGAGTGGGGGTGAAGGGGAGTGAGAGTGGGGGTGAGAAGGGGAGTGAGAGTGGGGTGAAGGGGAGTGAGAGTGGGGGTGAGAAGGGGAGTGAGAGTGGGGGTGAGAAGAAGAGTGAGAGTGGGGGGGTGAGAAGGGGAGTGAGAGTGGGGGTGAGAAGGGAGTGAGAGTGGGGGTGAAGGGGAGTGAGAGTGGGGGGGAAGGGGAGTGAGAGTGGGGGTGAGGGAGTGAGAGTGGGGGTGAGAAGGGGAGTGAGAGTGGGGGTGAGAAGAGAGTGAGAGTGGGGGTGAAGGGGAGTGAGAGTGGGGGTGAAGGGGAGTGAGAGTGGGGTGAGAAGGGAGTGAGAGTGGGGGTGAGAAGAAGAGTGAGAGTGGGGGTGAAGGGGAGTGAGAGTGGGGGTGAGAAGGGGAGTGAGAGTGGGGGTGAAGGGGAGTGAGAGTGGGGGTGAAGGGGAGTGAGAGTGGGGGTGGAAGGGGAGTGAGAGTGGGGTGAGAAGGGGAGTGAGAGTGGGGTGAAGGGAGTGAGAGTGGGGGTGAGGGGAGTGAGAGTGGGGGTGAGAAGGGGAGTGAGAGTGGGGGTGAAGGGGAGTGAGAGTGGGGTGGAAGGGAGTGAGAGTGGGGTGAAGGGGAGTGAGAGTGGGGGTGAAGGGGAGTGAGAGTGGGGGTGAGAAGGAGTGAGAGTGGGGGTGAGAAGGGAGTGAGAGTGGGGGGAAGGGGAGTGAGAGTGGGGGTGAAGGGGAGTGAGAGTGGGGGTGAAGGGGAGTGAGAGTGGGGGTGAGGAGGGAGTGAGAGTGGGGGTGAAGGGGAGTGAGAGTGGGGTGAGAAGAAGAGTGAGAGTGGGGGTGAAGAGGAGTGAGAGTGGGGGTGAGAAGGGGAGTGAGAGTGGGGGTGAAGGGGAGTGAGAGTGGGGGTGAGAAGAAGAGTGAGAGTGGGGGTGAAGAGGAGTGAGAGTGGGGGTGAGAAGGGGAGTGAGAGTGGGAGTGGGAAGGGGAGTGAGAGTGGGGGTGGGAAGGGGAGTGAGAGTGGGGGTGAAGGGGAGTGAGAGTGGGGGTGAAGGGGAGTGAGAGTGGGGTGAGAAGGGGAGTGAGAGTGGGGGTGAAGGGGAGTGAGAGTGGGGGTGAGAAGAAGAGTGAGAGTGGGGGTGAAGAGGAGTGAGAGTGGGGGTGAGAAGGGGAGTGAGAGTGGGAGTGGGAAGGGGAGTGAGAGTGGGGGTGGGAAGGGGAGTGAGAGTGGGGGTGAAGGGGAGTGAGAGTGGGGGGAAGGGAGTGAGAGTGGGGTGAAGGGGAGTGAGAGTGGGGGTGAGGAGGGGAGTGAGAGTGGGGGTGAAGGGGAGTGAGAGTGGGGGTGAGAAGAAGAGTGAGAGTGGGGGTGAAGAGGAGTGAGAGTGGGGTGAGAAGGGGAGTGAGAGTGGGAGTGGGAAGGGGAGTGAGAGGGGGGGTGGGAAGGGGAGTGAGAGTGGGGGTGAAGGGGAGTGAGAGTGGGGGTGAAGGGGAGTGAGAGTGGGGTGAGAAGGGGAGTGAGAGTGGGGGTGAAGGGAAGTGAGAGTGGGGGTGAGAAGAAGAGTGAGAGTGGGGCTGAAGGGGAGTGAGAGTGGGGGTGAGAAGGGGAGTGAGAGTGGGGATGAGAAGAAGAGTGAGAGTGGGGGTGAGAAGGGGAGTGAGAGTGGGGGTGAAGGGGAGTGAGAGTGGGGGTGAAGGGGAGTGAGAGTGGGGGTGAGAAGGGGAGTGAGAGTGGGGGTGAGAAGGGGAGTGAGAGTGGGAGTGGGAAGGGGAGTGAGAGTGGACCCTGGGAGGCGTGTTCCCTCGTGTAGACACTCATCCCTTGCACTGCTCAGGGCGGGGTCTCGCTGCTTCGGCCTTTCAACTTGTGATAACGACATTCCCTGAATATGAGGGTGTCCCCACAGAACCTGCCACCATTCCTTAAGCTGTTCCCTCATCCTCCCTTGTTAATTCCTCTCCAAATCCCTGTCTTCCCCCCTTTCCTGAGTGGTCCGTTTCCCCAGGACATAGCTATTCCAAGTGGAATTTGCTTCTCTACCTCTTCAAAATCAGCTAGAAGAGGGAGGAAGGACATCAGGAGGAATCTTCCGCATCGGACTGCAATTTGCTTCATTTTTAAATTTCCTTCCCCCTGGAGCACTTTAAAAATAAAATATTGCCAATCTCTTATGCTGAAATCTGATATCCAAAACAACTTCAGATAAGATCTTTATCTACTTTTTTGCTCTGATTATTCCCAGCTTCCTGGTGTACCTCCCCCTGCCCCACCACAATCTCCCTATCACGCTTAGAGAGTATCGGTACCTTATCTGACCTTAGATCACTTTACAAGGCCCTCTTACACTGAGTTAACTGAAGAATGTGGCCAGTCCAGCCTTCCGTATTCTTGGATTTATCCCTGGCGTGTACCTTGGAAGGATGAGACCTAATACATCACCACAATAAAATGAGAACATGCTGCAATGTGCAAAGGTTAAAATAAAAATTGCATGTAATTTTACAACATGCAGATAACCAGTGCTAATATTTTTGTGTATATCTTTCTAATCCTTTGTTTTTTAACGTATGTATGCTTTTAGCAAAATGAAAAAAAGTTACCATAATATTACATAGTGAACTTCCTTCAATCATTAGATAGTTCTTGAAAATATGAATTTTTATATTCCTAAATGTATAAGCATGTGTCTTCTATGAATTAGCACATTTTATTACATTACATTTATCCAAAAATCTACATCCAATAAAGGACACAATGATATCACCTAATAAACACTTCATATAAAAATTTGTCACTTGTCCTTGTAATGTTCTTTATAGTTGTTTTTCAGTCTTCCAGTGACCAGGAATAATATAGGAGCATGCATTGAATTTAACTGTCTTAGAAACTATGATTTTTTTTTTTTTTGAGGTGGAGTCTCGCTCTGTCCCCCAGGCTGGAGTGCAGTGGCG